TCATCTTCTCAGTGTCCTTATGTTCAGTCACTGGTGAACATAATGTAACAATGTGAGACACAAAAACGTGTATTAGGACACTTTAACTGATTATTGTTTAATTATTATAAATATAATTAATGTGTTTTTGTTCCAAGAAGAATTTGAGCTAAAACTATTTTGATGTAAATACTCACAGGTAATAACAGAGAGACGAGCCAAAGACTGATGAACCTGAGTGTGTTTAGATGGTGTTTCTTTGACTTCGTATTGTTGACAGTAATAAAGACCAACATCCTCGACTGTGAGCTTCTTTATCAGCAGAGAACAGTTCGCTGTAACTCTCAGTCTGTCTGATTGAGTTTTGGCTTTTTCACCAATCTGTCCAAGTGTGATCAGCTCTACTGTTGTTTTGTTTCTTGAAGTAAAGGTCCACGTAGTCCCATCACAGTTATTCTGCTCATCTATCACATTCAGACAAGGCAGAGTGACGTCATCTCCAACTTTCATAAACATGGAGGCTTCATTTACAGATACTGTTGAGGAGATTGAAGAGAAATAGGAAAAATAAGTTAGAATACAGCAGTTTTTACAGTCAGAGTGAAGATCATTTCAGACACAGGTTTATAAACAGAGCACGATCAGCTGTCTTATTTACTGTAAAGGTTATTGACTGTAATGATATTGATAAAATTTAGTTTTGTTGCTATTAAAATGTTTCCTGTATTCTTACCTGCGATCTGAATCATCAGCATCAGACATGAAAACATTTGAATCCATCTGAATTCACCCATCGTGCTTCTCTGTCTCACTTCTTTCTTGTTCTCGATCTCGACTGTCACACCCTCTGAACTGTTGACTCTTTAAGACTGTTTGTACTTCCTGTTATTTGTCAGACGTCACATCCTCACTGCAACTTTAGTAATTATCAGTTCTTTCCCTTTTTTGTTGATGTTTATGTTTCATAGAGAGGTTCATCAGCTATTTACATCTCTGATATTCATGAATGCATTTTTAAAAAAGACAAACTATTGTAAAGAGAAATGATGAGAAGACTCAGCAGGTGGGCATTGTGTCTATTTGTGTCAATGACGTGTTTGACACCATGAAAATAAAAAGATGACTGAGGACGATGAATGTGTGAAGATTGTTAGTAAAGATAAATGTTTCCATCCTTTGTTTTAACAGAGCTTGTTAGAAAACAGACAGCACATAAGAACAAACAGTCGAAGCATCAAACTCCTACATGCAGGCTGATGTCTAAGAGATGAAGATATCGAACTGCAGCTATAGAAAATACAGCAGATATTTTAGTGGACTGAGACCCTCCTCTTCCTCATTGTTAACATGAAGTTATTTCTTTCTGAGAGCTGAAGAGGAAGTGTTTGTGTAAGAGTGAAGGAACTGCAGCAGCAGCAGAGCTCTGGATGCTTGACTGTGTAAAAATAACCAGATAAACATCAGAAGCACAAATGATTAAAACACTGATGAAGCCTCTGTTTTGGACCCATTTTCTCATTTTTCAGTTTGTCCATCTTTGACTCGTCTTGTTTGACCGAAATGCATCTTTGCGTTAAAGGATGCACCTGTTCAACCACTAAATGGATCTCTCTCTTCTCTCTCCTCTCTTCCACAAAGTAGTTTGGGGAATTACAATATCCTCTGATCATGGTGTACTCAGGGTATTTGATATTTTATGAGTCACAGTCAGGAGGATGCAGGAGAGAAAATGAGGAGGCACAAATGAGAGTAATGAGAAATTCCTTTGGAGACGCAGGTGTGATTAACAGGTGACTGTACACAAAGTGACAGACTGAGGACCTCTGGTGGACAGAAAAGGGTACTACATGAAAAAAGAGCTCAGCCCTAAACTGTGAAAATTAATTATTTATTTTGCATAAATACAGTTTCACCTGCAGCAAACACTGAAACTGGATAGAAATTTGTTTTAATATTGAGATCAAATTATCATAAACAAAACAGAATATTTATACAGATTCTAAAGATCATTAAAGACACGTTATAAAGCGCACACTGGAGAAAGTACAACACAATTTGGACATTAAAAACATCTTTAATCAGACTAAAACAAAAGTACACACACACACACACACACACACACACACACACACACACACACACGGACAAATCATATATAAGATATTTAACATGTAAATCCAGATGAGATGATACTGATAACATAACAGCAAGTTATTGATCAGTGCAGTCTGATAGAAACAGCAGAGTCTCCCACATTTTCATAGTTGACTGGAACATCTTCATCTCTATCATAATGTACCTGTCAAATAAATTATTATTAGTCCTTTATTTATCCAGGTAAAAATCTCATTGAGATTAACATCTAATTTCCAAGAGAGACCTGGCATCATGGCAGCAAAAGTCAAAAGTACCTGCATCACATAATTACATAACAATTAAAAAAACAATATTCCTACAAACATGTGAGAAATATACAACAACAGATCATTAAGAGCGACATTAAAAACAATCACACTGACTAAAAGAGTTATTCTCTCCTTTCTTTAAGATGGACTTACAACGTAACCGTTTCTAAAAGTTTTAGTTCGTTCTGCAGATTGTTCCAGGAAACA